TCCAGTATAAGTATGTCCCAAATATTGCATGTGGCACACTTATATTAAAAAGTTATTTGTTCCCTGTATACTGTTGGGACTGTAAACTGGTCTAGCCACGATGGGAAACAGTATGAAGTTTCCTTGATAATTTAGAAACAGAACCACCATATGATCCAGCCATCCCACTTCTGGGTTTCATTTCCAAAGGAAATGAAAACAGGTTATGAGAGATGTATGTGCACTCCCCTGTTCATTGCAGCATTATTTACAATACCCATGACATGGAAACAACCTAAGTGTCTATGTATAAATGGGCAAAGAAGGTGTGGTGTAGACAATGGAATAGTATCCAGCCCCAAAAGAAAAGGAAATCCTGCCACTTGCCACAACACGGACATGATGTGTGATATCACCTATATGTGGAATCTAAAAAACCCTAAATTCATAGACACAGAGTAGAGAGGTAGTTACCAGGGGCTGGGGGATGGAGGAAATGGGGAGATACTGGTCAAACTCTACAAACCTCCAGTTATAAAATAGATGAGTTCTGGGGATCTAATGTACAGCATGGTGATTCTAGTTAATGACGCTGCATTATATCCTTGAAAATTGTTAAGATAGTAGATCTTAAATGTTTTCACCACAAAAAAAGAAGTGGCAAATATGTGAAGTGATGAAGGCTAACAGCTAGACTTCCAGGGGCCATCATTTCATGATATGTGAGGGTCTCAACCTAACACCTAAATTCACACAATGTTATATGTCAATTATATTTCAGTAAAGGCTAAAAAAAGAAAATGCCTAAAACATGGTGTGTTTCTATGGAGTTTAGAAGGCACACGAGATAGTATGGGAAAAGCTAAGGGTGGAGTGAAAGGTAACAGCTGAAAGGCCATGTTGAGGGCGCCCGGGTGGCTCAGTTGGTTAAGCATCTGCCTTTGGCTCAGGTCATGATCCTGGGGTCCTGGGATGAGCCCCACGTCAGGCTCCAAGTCTGCTTCTCCACCTGCCCTTTCCCCACTCGTTCTTTCAATCTCTCTTGCTCTCTCTCAAATAAATAAATAAAACATTTTTTTTGAAAAAAGAAAGGTTATGTTGATACAGTGTTAGGAAAAACAAGTAATGTGAATTTTTAAATAAATTGGCATTTTTAGGTAACAGAAATAGATTTATTTGTTGTGCAATTCTTTTTTTAATCAAATGACATTTGTTGGCGAGACACCAGTGTAGTGTGTGTATGTGTGTGTGTGTGTGTGTGTGTGTGTGTGTCTAATGTGTTGACCGTCTCCGGGAACAGTCGGAATTCTCTTTTCCTTCATGTTGGGCTGCCCCCCAGATTGCTGAGATTAGACCTTAAGCTATAGTTAACTAGGAAATTTGCTTCTCTACCTCTCTGTAGGCACGCGTGGGATAAGCACACCCCTTTGACTGTGGGAATATTATGGCAGAGGATTTAAAATGGATAAAAGGAGACATGGGCAATAAGCCACCGTTGGGGTGACCCAGACAATTCACGCAACCTCCCTTAGCCTCAGCTGCCTTAATTCTCTGATGAGGATTTGCTTCCTGCACACCTCATCAAGCTGTTGTGATGATCCAAAATGATAGCTAGCTCGAGGCAGCCCCGTATGGACTCCTTACTCAGCTAGAACCACGGGGCAGCTGGACGAGAGGGGAGGCCAGGAGGTTCCTGGGCAGTAAGTATGTAGAGGTCTCAGATCTGCCTGGAAGCACAGGGTCTGTCCACAGGGGTAGAGCGGGGCCTCCACTTGGCTCCTCTCCGGCCTGAATTCACCCATCCCTTGGAAATGCTTGCTTTCTGGCTTCAATCACGCTGAGGGAGAACAGGAAGGTGTCCTGTCACTGGGAGGAAGACAGCGTGGAGGGAAAGCGTCTACTGTGAGGGGGCTTGGCGTGGGCTGCACAGCCTGGGCACGGTGAAGGTGATGTCCTCATACAGGGGGTGGCCCGGAATAGGTGTCAGAACGAGGAGAAACAAATGGTTTTTAAGGGGGAGGACTGTTTTATTGATGACGTCATTAAGAGTTGCTGGTGCAATGTGCTAGTAAATTCTCTGCAGATCGTGTTTTTATCTTTTTATAAGATTTTATTAATTTGTTTCGGGGGAGGGGCAGAGGGAGAGAGAGAGTCTTAAGCAGACTCCCCTCTGAGTGCAGAGCCCGATGCGGGCTCGATCTCAGGAACCTGAGGTCATGACCTGATCCGAAACCAAAAGTCAGAGGCCCAACTGACTGAGCCACCCAGGCGCCCCATGCAGATAGTGTTTTTTTAAACTATCTACAGATAATGTACCCCCTTATCACCTGCACCTTGAATTGACAGCCTCCGTCCAGCCTGTGTTTGGTATGCCTCAGGCATGACTCCACGCTGAAACGAATAAATAAATGAAATAAAAAGAGGAAGTTTGACGAGCAGGATCTTTACACAGCACTGAAATAGCTCCCACGAAAGGGTTATTAGATTAAAAAGAGAAACAGAGCTAACTTCATGGTGGGGAAATCTGGCCCACACCATCTCAATCAAATGATCTGAGTGCACATCATCATTACTGAGAGGCACTGAAATCCGGGCACCTGCTAGAAGGTGATGAGAGGAGCACGGCATTATTTCTGTGGTGTTCCTACCAGAGGGCAGAACCGGAATCTCTTCCTGAGACAACACATCAGAAAAATGCAAACTGAGGGACATTGTCCCCAACTAACCTGTTAGCACCAGGAAGTGTTAAGGCCACGGAAATTAAGGAAAGACTTTGGCACCATTTCAGATTTAAGGAGATCTAAGGAGACAGACGTGACGACTGCATGGAACATACAATCCAAACTGGATCCTTTTCCCATAAAGGACATTACTGGGGGCAAATTTTGTGCAGGGCCTGGAGGTTATGTGGAGTTATTATATCAATGTTAATTCTTCCTTTCTGCCTCCCTCCTTCCCTCCTTCTCTCTTTATTTTTTTTTGTGGCAGAAGGGCAGTCAGAATACTCCAGACAGGAGAAAAATCACAATCATCAAAGAAAGACAGGAAAATCACTCCCAGTCCTGTGAACTTGGAGCATTCTCTGTCAGAAGTTGCAGAAGGGGGAGTGGTGGGCACAGAATGAGAAAGAAGGCCAGGTAGCTAATTAGGGTCATTTTATTAGAATTATGCATGACACATTTTTATATATTAGCATTAAGCTACACGAATGACTTAAATGATGAAATAATATTTTAGGATTTTAAAAATATTTTAGCAAAAATCACATATGAGTGAATCAGAGTTGATTTCTTGACCTTGATAATTATATTGTGGTTGTAGAGGAAAACATCTTTATATGAAATATCAATTAAAGATTTGGGTAATGGATGATATAATGTATGTTGATTAACATAACAATAAAAAATTTAAAGAAAAAAATTTAAAAAAAAGATTTGGGTAATGGAGTGTCCTATTGGACACTCTCAACCTGTTATAGGTTCAGGAAAAAATTGGTACCAAAAAAAAAGAAAAAAGAAAAATAGTACTGTGCCTGCAGTTTTTCCTTAAGTTTGAGATTGCTACAAAATAACAATTAAAAAAGAAAATCAAGGCTCAGAGTTATATAACCCGACCAAGGCCACAGGGATAACAGGTGGCCGCTCCCAGTTGCAGCTCAGGTGTGTGTGTCTGAGTCCCAAATCCCCATCCTCACCCACACGGCCCTAGATGTCCCAGCTGTTTCCACTGAGGCCCTACAGAATCCACCCAAGGAGACCCCTGTTCCTATTCCTTCACCTGCAGAACAGTCCTCCTTCACCCAAACCATGTTGAGGTCCCTTTGATAGAACTGCTCCCCCACCCACCCCAGCCCTGTGCTGGCCCCGGCCCCCCCATCCTACTTGGCCGGCACCCACACCGAGGCGGTGACAGGCAGCAGCAGGGTTCGGGCTGGCTCTCTGCTCCTAAGAGTGGGGTTCTTTCAGCTGATCCCCCACTCTCCCAAAGTTCTCTCACTCTTCCTGAGGATCTCAAGATTTTTAAACCACTTACAACCAAACATGGTGATTTTTTTCTGGCCTTAGCTCCCCATTCTCAGCACCCCTCCAGAGAGAGATCCCCCCTGCATCTGGTGGCCTCAATAGGGGATCTCACCAGTCAGGGTTTTGTGTGCTATCCCATTACTTAAAGCAATCACCACCGCAGGTTACAGACATCACCCATAGCCCAAACCAGAAGGCGCTGCTCTCCCGTGACCTTCCGGGCATGGCCCTGCCTCCCCGCTGCTGAGCCGGCCCGAGCAGGGGAACGGGGAACGTGCAAAGGGTTTGCCTGTGACTCTGAGCCACGTGCCCACCGACATCACCAGGGGCTCCAGAAGCAGGGGCTGGGAGACCGGCGTGGGGACGGTGATGGGCCGTTCAGTGGTGAGCCATGTCCCAGGACACACAGTTCGTCCTGGCTGCACCTGACCACCCTCCCCCTGAGCCGTGGCCTCTGTACTGCCTGGAACCAAATGGCCCCCCTCCCAGGGACGAAGAGGCTCTGGAGCTGGAATGGCCCCAGGAGGGGGTCACGTGGAGACATCCTGTCCGTGGCTGATTGGCCTCTTTGCTCCCCTGGGGAAGGAGGGCAGCCTGCTATGTTCTCTCGTGCTGGTGGGCATCTGGGGATGTGAAGGTGGTACTACGAATGTGTCACCAGACAGGACTGGGCCGAGGCCCAGCGGGGCGAAGCCTCCCTTCGCTGCATGCCCTCACCGGTGCCTGGGTAAGGGCTCTCGTCCTTCACTGCTGGAGAAGCTGGCGCGGGGGAGAGAGGGCCCACCCCCTGAGATGTTAGCGGGAGTCCTAAGTGGCCCTCCAGCCTGAGTGCTCCGTGAGGGAATGTTGCTGTGTAAAGAAGATGGCTGCTTCCTGACCGGCCCTTCCCCAAAAAGAGGCCCTTGTGACAGGAGCCTCTCTGGGGTGGAGAGGTGAGCCTGGTAGCCTGCATGCATATAAATGGTGCTGCCTGACTCCCCACTCAGGCCTGATGGCAGAGATCCACAGGGGCTCTGTTTCTATGGGTGAGTTTAGCCCCATCCCTGTGGTCTTACCCAGGGCACGGGTTGCAGGCGGTTAGCCCAGTGGTCACAGGCATAACTAAGGGCCAGACTGGGAAGGAGGGGGCCTCCTCGTGTACCACGGAGGGTCGTGCCCAGAATCATTAATGGTGGATGCAGAAAGGTGGGCTTGCAAATATCCTCACACTCTGACCCTGCAAGGAGCGTAGCCGAGAGTGTACGAGCAGAGGGAGGGAGTGACGCCATCCCACCTCCCAACAGCCTGGGAGGGACAGGTCAGGATTGTCTCCAGGGCACAGAAGAAGGTGATGCGAGTTCCCATGGTCACATCACAAGACTGCATTAGAAGCCAGACCCTCTGACTGTCCAGGTCCTCCTCACCAGCCCAGGTACCACACCCCTCCAGCCCCAGAGGCGGGGCGTGAAACCGCAGATGATGCTAGGATCTTCCGAGGACAAGTTGGGTTTTTCCCAAAGTGCCTCAGGCTCGGCCATGTGCCTGAATCTTGACAAACCTTCGCAGATGCCTCAATGAGCCAATGGCACTTTCTTTCTGCAGGAGGAGTCTCTGGAACAGAAGCCATGTTGCAGCGCTCTTTGGCCCTCACCTTCACCTTGCTGATGGTTTCTGGCATGGAGTGCAACGTGAAGGATGTCTGCATTGGCAGCCCCGGCATCCCCGGCACTCCTGGATCCCATGGCTTGCCAGGCAGAGATGGGAGAGACGGCGTCAAAGGAGACCCCGGGCCTCCAGGTACTGAGTGAGACCCTACCCTCAGCTGAGGGACGGTGACCTGTTTCCAGGAGGTCCACCTGTCCCGGGCTCTGTGCTGGGTCCCAAGGTCAGCGGGATGGCGGGGCATGGTGGGAGTTGCCTGGGGGCCTTAGACTGGAGCAGCCCTGGAGAGGTTACCCTCAAAGTGCCCATGGGGTGACAGGTGAGTCAGCTCAGCTGCTAAGAGACGTCCCTTCACATCAGCCTCAGCCCTGCTGTGGGTGATAAATACCACACATCCATGTCCCCTTCTCTCTGCAGGCCCCAGGGGCCCCCCTGGAGGAATGCCAGGCTACTCCGGGCCTGAGGGGGTGATTGGATCCCCGGGTGTTGCTGGAGAGCGTGGAGAAAAGGGGGAGCCTGGTGAGAGGGGCCCTCCAGGTAAGCAGGACGGGGCAAGCCGGCCGCAGCAAAGCGGGCACTGCGCCCATGTGACCAGGTACGTGAGGGGTAGCGGGGGTCAGACAGAACCGTGGAGGTCCCCAAAGGGCATCCTACTCAACCTAAGTGAGTGAAGACGAGGCCAAGGAGAGGAGTCCGACATGCCCGGGTAGCAGGCCATGGCGAGGACTGGTGGGTGTTGGAAGGGCTCCACACGTCACGACTGCTGACGGGCATCAGGTGTGGGGCGAGGACAGCGCCGGGAGGCAGGGAAGGCATTTCCTGGGGCTGAGGCCCGGGGGGCATTCCGAAAGGTGTACGGGGTTATCTGGGCTCTCGGTAGACGATGGGAATGGGAGCCCCACATACAAAGGGGAACTCCAGAGCTCCGAGTGGTGACCAAGGTCCATCAGGAGAGTGCCGAGAGAACCACGTGCTGTCCCTCTCCATCAGAGCAGCTCCTTACTTCAGTGTTTGAAATCCTGCTTCCTGGACGAGTGCCCACTATTGACTGAGCTGCTGGGTGGCAGGCGGGGAGGGGTGAGGTTGAGGGAGGACAATGGGTCAAGATCAGGGGTAGAGACCACGGCGAAAGCCTGTTTTGCCAGGCAGGTAGATCACTCCATGGCTCAGCCAGGCCAGAGAAAGAAGGAGAGGTATAGTTTGTTTGCCTTTGGTGGAGGGGGAGGGAGAGGACCCTGCCCCCAAACCAGAAAAATCCTGTGGGTTTTTCTGACGGAGCCGTTAAAGGACAGGGCAGGAAAGAAGGGCAGGCAGGGGCTCAGCAGGTGCAGGGCTGCATCAAAGGACAAGGGTGTAGGCAGTGTGGAGACACACCCCAGGGCCTGAGCAGCGGGTGTGGACGAGTAAAGGGCCAAGTGCCAGGCTTGCAGCTGGCGTTGTGCCTGCCTGGCTGCAAGTCAGGATCTTGGTTGGCTTGCCCCTGATCTTGGGTGGGAATCTCTTGACAGGGCTTCCAGCTTCTTTAGATGAGGAGCTCCAAACCACACTCTACACGTTCAGACGTCAAATCCTGCAGGCCATGGGAGGTAAGGGGGCTCCCCAGGGCCTTATAGCATGGAGGGTCTCCCTTAAGTTCCCTCATTCCCAGCGCCGGGCTCCAGAACCTCGAGACTTGACAAGCAGGTGTGGGTGGGCAGGTTTGGGGGGAAAAAAACAATACTTCCCTTTCCTGATGTCTTCGAATGGCCCCGAGGAGACAGAGGTAGACACAGATCAGCTCCCTATGTCAGGGGAGCGTAATTTCTCTGCCTAACTTGCCTTCTATTGAGTCTCAGGAAATTGCAGTTTCTGGCACATAAGAGATGGTCCATCAGTAATTGTGCAATGGGTGAACGAATGAATAGAATGAGGAGAGCAGGGAGGGGGACTGAGGAAGACTCGGGTTGGCAGGGGAGGAGAGGCAGAGAAGGCACGAGGACAGGGAGCCCGGGCGAGGGACAGGGACTTCCAGCCAGAGCAGCCGGTGGCCTGACTCGGTTTCTCTGCCTCAGTCCTCAGCTTACGGGAGTCCATGCTGGTCGTGGGAGAGAAGGTCTTCTCCAGCAACGGGCAGTCAGTTAATTTTGAGGACATTCAAGAGTTATGTGCCAGAGCAGGTGGCCGCATTGCTGCCCCGACGAGCCTGGAAGAGAATGAAGCCATTGCAAGCATCGTGAAGAAGTACAACACTTACGCCTACCTGGGCCTGATGGAGAGCCCCGACTCTGCAGGCTTCCTCTACATGGATGGGTCCCCTGTGAACTACACCAACTGGTACCCTGGGGAGCCCAGGGGGGCGGGCAAGGAGAAGTGTGTGGAGATGTACACAGATGGGCAGTGGAATGACAAAAATTGCCTGCAGTACCGGCTGGCCATCTGTGAGTTCTGAGCAGGCCCCTGGGCCGCCCGATAGATAGGACCCTGCCTTGTCCAGCCTCCCGCTGGAGGATGTGCCTGAGCTCTGACACGCTTCAGCTCCTTCCCGACAAAATGTATTTGTGGCCCTTAGAGCATTCTTAGCCGCTCCGCTCCCTGGACAGGCTCCAAATCCTCACCCGCATCAGGAATCAGGAATCAGTCTGACACGCCCCCCCCCCACCCCCACCAGCCCCTTCTCAGCCCTGCACTCCAGGTGCCACTCCTAACTTTGCCTTTGGGCAAGAGTCGGACACTTCTTTCTTCCTCCTCTTGTCCGGTTCCTTCGTTGCTAGGTGGCAGCAGTGAGGTCCTGGGTTCCCTCCATAATCACACAGCCGGTGCCGGCTTCCCGGCCCCCCTCCCCCCTCACTCTGCAGACCACCTGCTGCCCAGCCTCAGCAAGATTTGGCAGTTCTGGTCAAGCACAATGATAGAAGAGGGGGCCCTCTGGGGAATTCCACATGTGTGGAGCTAAGGACCCATTTGGGGTTATCTGGCAGCCTGGAGCCTCTGAGGGCACATCTGGTCGGTGTCTCCGTGAGGTCAGAGGGCCGGGTGGTGCCTCAGCATATTGTGGAGGCTAACCTAACCCTAATAGTTGCCTTGAGTCTTGGGTTGCCTCTCAACTTCCTGACCAAAAAGCAGCCAGTCTACACCCCTAGGGAAGATCTCACCCCCGACCCAGACATAATCCAAGTAACTCCGGCTGATGGACGTGTCCGCACCTCTTTTTGGATCTCAGTGAGGTGTTCACACCCCTCACCACACCACTGGCAGTTGATCGATCACTTAAATAGCATATGTGCCTAGTCTATGTACCCAGAACCTTGCCAAGCACTTCTAAAACATCTTATGGAATATGATTTAATCTTTACACAATGCCATGGGCCCAGTCTGATTTTCCCCCATTTTCATATGAGGACACAAACTTAGAGAAGTTAAATGTTTTGAAATGTATTACTTGGAGCAAAAGTGGCAGAGGCTTATTCAAACCTATCTACCTGGACCTGAAGCTCATGCTCATAACGACCTTGCCTCTTACTGGACAGAGGTGATTGAAGTGTAATAAATCATGACTGCATTAACATGAGTTTTCATTGCTTTGGTTTCAAGAAATAACGTGTTTCTGTATCTCTAGAAATCAAATTAACTCTGGCTCTGAGCCCCCAGAGAGGCTCAGAAATGAGCCTTACCTCAAAAATGGAAAATTCAATCTCGGGTAGTACCTTCTTTGTCGGGTGGGAGGGGCAACCTGCTTTCCACCCTTAAGTTGTACAAACGTATGACAAGCTACAGAAAATATCTGGAAGAACATATGGGCATTCATGTTGATGGCCGGCATTAGGGTAACTCCTAAGCTAACTCCACATGCTTCCTTTGTGGGTGATAATATCATGCCTTCCATTTTCCCCTTAGCCACCTGAATGTTTTCCATGGCCCTGAGGTGGTGGTGTTCAGGGGAGCTTGCTTCTCCCTCTCCAGCTCCCCTATGCTGTGTTCCCTCTCTCGCTATCTGTCTCTGTCAAATAAATAAATAAATAAAATCTTTTAATAAATAAATAAATAAATAAATCAGTCCTAGATAGTTTGCAATGCAGGGGTCTAGGGAAAAGAATGTATGAAGAACAATAAAAAAATTCTAAAAAATTTAAAAAAAAAGAATGTATGAAAAATTGTGAGACCATATATTCATTTTGAGAACAGGGTGAGCTTCAAGCTTCCAGATTGTACATACCTGCTTTAAGACTCCTCATCAAACTTGTTATATATTATATTAGTGAGTTACATGGATTTATTTTTTGATATTGAACCATCCTTTCATTGCTGGGATATACCCCCCTCAGTCTAGGGGCTGATACTCTCATCACATTTACTCTGTGCCAGGAACTACACTCATACTAACTCATGTGATCCGCATTAACCCTGTTATGTAGATGTCATTATTGTCCCCAGTTTACAAATAAGAATACTGAGGCACATAGAGGTTACAGCGATTTGCCAAAGGCCATGCAGCCAGTTCAAGCACGGTCTGGGCTATGAATACACAAAGTCAGATTCCAGAGACTGTGCTATTGACCACAGATGCATGCCTAGACTTCAACTGCTGCTTTTGACTTCTGGCGCATTTGTGTCTGCTCCACATTGTTTAATTAATCTGATATTAGTGGTAGTGGGGACATATTCTTCCCATGATTGGAAAAACCAGAAGAGGCCAGGTTAAACACGCAAGCACATGTAAAGCTGCTACTCCTTCTGTGTCTGCTCACGGTCACACGGCCAAGCCGAATGTCCCAGGGGGCGGGATGTAGAGGACGCCGCATGCTCTAAGGCAGGCTCCACAAAGTCCCATGGCCAAGGGCACAGATGTGTAATTCTATGATACGGAGAAATAAAATATCAGGAAAAATAGTCCAAACTTCTCTGGTCAGATTTGCCAAGTTTATTTTATTTTTGCAAAGAACCAGTTTTTTAGAATTTTATTATTAGCTTTATAGTTATTTCCTTATTCTAATTCATTAATTTGATTGTTTAAATTTTTATTCTTTCTTTGCTTCTTTCTTTCTTATACTGTCTTTTAAAAAATATCAATTTGGGACATCTGGGTGGCTCAGTCGGCTCAGGTCATGATCTTAGGGTCCTGGGATCGAGTCCCGTGTCAGAGCCCACTTCTCTCTCTGCCTGCTCTGCTTGCCACTCCCCCTGCTTGTGCTCTCTCTCTCTCTCTCACTCTTGCTCTCTCTGACAAAAATAAGTAAAATCTTTAAAAATAAATAAAAATAAAAATACCAATGTATCTGTTTATAGAGACAGCAGTCCTGGGAGGACTCCTTCTGAGGCTTGTAGTATCAGTCAGCTTTCATTCTGCTTATTTCCTACTGTGTTTGGTAATTTTTACAAGGGGATCTCAAACTTAGCTGATGGCCACCTGAGAAAATCCTGAGGCACCTAGCATGCATGTCCCTATGGTGCACTAGGGTGTGACGAGCTGAGACGCTTGAAAAACTATTTGTCATCTTGCCATAAATAGCAAAATTCAATAATAATCATCTTGGCAGAATAATAATAGTGTGTAGCGTGCTTTAAAACCCAGGCCTAGGACGCCTGGGTGGCTCAGTTGGATAAGCGACCGCCTTTGGCTCAGGTCATGATCCAGGGTCCTGGGATCGAGTCTTGCATTGGGCTCCCTGCTCAGTGGGGAGTCTGCTTCTCCTTATGACCCTCTTCCCTCTCGTGCTCTCTCTCTCTCTCACTCAAATAAATAAATAAAATCTTAAAAAAAACAAAAAACAAAAAACCCAGGCCTTAGGCGAGGACAGACTAAAAATACGCATCTTCAAAGGTGGATCTTTTCCCTAGCAAAGTCAAGGCTTTCTTATTGTCCCTTTCTTTGCTCATCCCTCCCTCCTCCCGCCATATTGTCTCCCCTGCTTCCCCAAGCCACTTTTCCTCTAGTCTGTAGCATAGAGGGTCCTGGTTTATGTAATTCTCTGTTTTAAACTCCCACCCTTCTGGGAAGTCTGCTCATTTGTTGCATGAGTCGGATGTTCTTTGTCCTCTGGGCCTGGGGCCCTTCACAGTTATGTCAATGAACTCAGGAAACACAGCCCTGAGAGGGGTCTCCTGTACAGGGGGCCCCAGGAATCTGGGAGGGATGCCGAACAGGGTTTAGTGACTTCGAGTATACAGAGCTGATGACCCTTGAGAAGCCAGAACACCAATCACAAGGCAGAGTCAAAGGGAAGTGGCCCCCCCCCGACTCCCCACCAGGGAAAAAGCAAACCTCTCGAGCTATTTGGTAAGACTAAGTGTTTCAGAGAGTGAGTGTAAATTTGGGGGAGGGCAGGAATCAAAGGTCAGGTCAGGCACTTGAAAAAGGCCACTTGATGAGGCTCTGGAGATAAGAACCAGACGCTGCTGGAAACCAGGTGCGGAGGCACCGAGGACTGGCCAACCACCTGCTCCTGCTCGTGGTCTCCTCTCCTCCCCCACCCCCGCTCTCTCAGGCGACCCTTCCTCTGTGCCCAGCCCTGGGGTGCACCGTGGAGACAAGCCAGTGAAGCAAACACAGCTCCTGTCCTAGAGAAGTAGCTGGGAGCGTGGGCACCGATATTAGCTCTGGGGGGAGAGCAGTCAGGGAGCTGCTCTGAGGAGGCCATGCGGAAGGACCCATTCACTCAGTGACTGTTTCCAGGCACCCTTCCCAGTGGCGGTGTCTGTTTCCAGGCACCCTTCCCAGTGGTGGTGACTGCTTCCAGGCACCCTTCTGAGTGGGGCAGCAACAGTTGAGGACAAGATCCCTGTCCTGAAGGAGTTCTTGTTCTAAAGGAGGGCAACGGTCAATGAATGTGCAACTAAATAAGACGGTTTTACAGGGATAGCTATTATAGGCAGAGAATTAAGACAGAAAGACAGGATGGAGTGGCTACTTAAAAGTAAATGATAGAGGGGCTCTTGGGTGGCTCAGTCAGTCGTTAAGCGTCTGCCTTCGGCTCAGGTCATGATCCCAGGGTCCTGGGATCGAGCCCCACGTCGGGCTCCCTGCTCAGCGGGAAGCCTGCTTCTCCCTCTTCCGCTCCCTCTGCTTGTGTTCCCTCTCTCGCTGTCTCTCCTCTCTGTCAAATAAATAAATAAAAATCTTAAAAAAAAAAAAAATTAAATGGTAGTGGAAAGCCCTTTCTCCAGACAGAATATTTAAACTGCAATGTGAATGACAATAATCATGCAAAGATAGAGGCAAGCATCCTAGGGTGGAACAGCTATAGTGCAAGTACCCACATCCAGCCTTGAACTTGAATTACTACAAATACTCCCTCCCCTGTGCCTCGCCCTGGCACATCTGCGCCTCATCCAAAGAAGACCTTTGATAAATGTTGTGAATGAGAAGGGAGGAATGAGGCGACTCAGTGTTTAATCCCTCCCAACCCCCCACCCCACCCTGAACCAAACACAAGTGGGGGTGGGAGAACTGACACAGAAGCGTGAGCCGGTACGTGTAGGCGTGTGTGGACATGCGCGTGCTC